TATTTTGAAGCACAAAGTGATGATTATTTATCTCCATGCAATTGTCACGGGGTATATATACTGACTGAAAACAATGATAATGTTGGTTTTTAAATGTTAAGAATTAAAAGAAACATATAAATACCTTAATACCAGAATTTCAAGGGCACAAACCTTATCATTATTTAGTGAGTTTACATATCATAAGTAACATAAGTTTAAATCAATAAGATTCTCTTATTTCAAAATAATTAAAACATATAAACTCAATTATTATCATCTTCACTGGAAAAAAATCTAAACATATGAAATTTGATACAAAGACATTATCAAGCAATATATTTTGGAAAATAAAGGGAGAGGGAGGTAAATACATATACATTTATATTGTGGGGAAACAAATAACTAAATTCATACTTTGTAATCTCCCTTTGTTATATATATATACTTATATTAGAATTTTGAATGATGTAATCCAAAACTGCGTCCTGAACATCACCTCAGTAATATAAATTTCTCTGCCAAATATATTTAAATTCATACTATCGGTTTAAAAGAAACGGAGCAGACACACAATTTTGAAATTGAAAATGATTAACTGTGACCTTGACCTGAAGAATGCCAAACCTGCGCTCTGCACATCGTCATATTACGGTTAACATTTCTGCCAAGTAGTTTCAATTTCCTTCCAACGGTTCAAAAAATACAGACCGGATAAGAAAACCTGTTAACAGACCGGACAGACGGACGGACGGACAACCATATATCCAAATTCTGTCGTAAAAAATGATATTCTGCCAAAACCGAGCTATCAATTTCGATGTTAACTCCCTGAGGCAGTCATTAGAGGTTGTACTTGACCGGTGCCAGTGTGCAAAATAGACAAATAAAATAAAACATAACACAAATATTTTACCTAATGGCCACTTGCTATATCTACCACTAGCAGAACTAGCTCTTCTCTCTCCTTGCTTTTTGCTATCATCTCCTTCTGGTGGCAGAAAAACGTTTAACTTTGCTGCACTTATCATATTCGCCTCATCCAAATAATCGTATTCTTCCGGTTCTGGTATTCTTTCTTGCGAACTAAACGGAAAGATTTAAATATATATATATATATAACTGTATGGAATCAAATACTTTTAATTTGCATTGGTACCTTATATCTTACCTTGGGGAAAAGTAAGGACAGTAGAAAAGTAAAATAATTGCAAGTTAGACATACTTTGGCTTCGAAACAAAACCGTGGCATTGATCTGGTAGTGCAAAGACAGGCGTTGAGAAAACAAATCGTCTCCTATGCAGCACAGAAACAGACGGACAGTTAATCATCTCCTGTTCTAGCCATCAAGCAGACTGTCCCGCTGGTTGGAAACAATAAACATATTAATAACTCTTTTTCAAGTGATCTATTGAATTTTTGACTAGGAAAAGGAATGACCAAAACGACCAGATGGTGGAAATAATTGGAAGAAGTTCTTTCGAAGGCAAAACTGAACACTGAAACAAAGTTCAAAAATGTCATGTTACTAATATGTATGTAAGAAAACTTAAACATTCTAAATGTTAATTATGCTTAACTCATTTACTTCTCTTTTACTCTGTAAAAAAGTTAACATCAAACATACGGTGGAGGGTCCGGACTAAGTATACCATCGGCTGTTGCATATCCACCGTTATTACCATGCGTCTCGTATGTATGATGATTGCCTTGAACATGACCTGTGCCGTTTGGCTTTCTGAAACAATATGATGCATACACATTTTGTATTCGGTAATTATAATTCAAAAGGTAAAGATAGTCATCAAACAACTTTTCCTTCAAACCAATCATTTGCAACTGTAAAACGCTACATAAAAATCAACAAGGAGAAAATATACAGTACCTGATAGGGTGTAACTTTTGTATGTTTGTTGTTCTGCTTCAAAGAATACATATATACTTTGTACAAAAAGAAAGAAAATACACATATTGCAGCATTCGTTCTAGAACCTAAACACTAAGACCAGTTTTGACATTTCCGAGCATGACAGCTGATTTCGTGTGAATACATTGTCTCGGTCAGAGACATTGCCCAAATATATAGACAAAGCTGTATAGAGAAGATAATATATTGCAGCTACCGCCGGTAAAGAGCATAGATAAGCTGACATACCTAGACAGATTTTATACCACTGTCGTTTAATTGTAGAATTTTCAATACATAACTGCCCAACATCATAAGCAATGGATAGCTTAAGTTTAAATGACAAAACGAATTAAGCAAAATAAGTCTCAACTTCTGTTAACTTTAACCAAACAATGAGTATCAAAGCTTACAATGACTCTATACAATGTTTAAACTCGGCAACGCCAACTGAATTACATTACAGTGTTCAATCTTAAACACATCAACTGAATTCCGTACATGCTTCAAAATTAGGCTATGTAAAACAATATGCTTTTGTAAATATATGCACTCTAATAGAGCCATACCAATCTGGCATGACTGAACAAACCTTCTATTTCTACGGCGACACAAAATCACAGCGGCAACTCCAAGAATAACAAGCAGCACAACACCTCCAACGCCGATGGCTATGAAGACCACATAAGATTGCTTGCCATCCTCCTCTGCAGGAACTTTACAAATAATACAAAACAGTCTTAAGTACGGCTATAGATTTCTTGACATAGAATACTGTTGTTAATTGGAGATAATAAAACAGTGTAAATAATACTAAACGTAAAGCAATACTAAAACAATATGTAGATCAGCGTGGTCTGAAATTGCTCAGTTTGTTTAAAATACCTTTACTTGTTCAAAAATAGAATCAAAATGAAAATGGTGATATAAACAGTATTATCTTTTTAGTTTCATTCATTTTTCTTTTTTTGAGGTAATTAAAAAACTGTCCTTTATTGTAACTGTAAATTATATATTTCCTTATTTCTTTTAGTCCGTTGTTAAGCTTGTTAGTTCATTTTTGTCATTATAAGTGCAAACAGGTGGTCATAAAATTGCACATCAAACGTTAGATATTGTAATGTCTAAGATACCTTTACAAATACTATCTAGTTTGACATTCCAATTTCCGTTTTTGCACTGTACAGTTGTTAGAGTTGACGATTTTACATATCCAGATTGGCACGTAGGTCGACATAGAGCACCCGGTAAATTAGGACAACAGTCTTTGAGGGTATCAAGACCAGTAACAGAGGTGTAGGACTCCTTTGGACAGACATCAACCGCTATTGTAAGATAAACCAATCTTGATGTTAGAACTTACCATGGACATAGATCTTTACAAATATTTTAAATCTAAATTCTGTGAGAAATATTTTACCCGAAAGTCAATTTAGAAAATTGTTTACACTCACACATTTTACATATTCGCTTCTTAATATGAAGTGACGACATAATTGGTACTATTTGCCATAGAATTACTAAAAGAACAAATTTATTTTGGCCCACAAATTCAATTAGCATTTTTCGTTTTCATACTTATACTTTAATGTTGAAATGCTTTTTCTTTCCCATCTGACAACGCCATAGCAAAAACAAATGGATAAGGCTATGTTGCTTAAAGTTCATATAACAGTATTTAAATGCTTACGGACCATGGAATTCTATACAACAAAGAAAAATAAATAATACACAAAAGCAATCAGTGAGCACATGTGTCGCTTGTTGATAGCCAATTAGGTAGTAGTATTGAGGGTTGAATGACCAGTATGCTTCCTATATATTGCGGCTACTTTGTAGCATATTTTAGCAATTATGGAACAGAAGACGTTAACTCATTAACAGGCAAAACGCCGGGTTTTTTTCAGAGGCCATAACTCAGTCAATATCTATCATCAATCAATCCTGTAACGTTTCAGCCAATTTGCATTAGTAATATAAGAAAAGTAGTTGCGACAAAATCTATAAATAGAAATCATTAAAGACTCATAACTCTGACAATATTCATTGAACTAAACAATGCCGGTGATATCATTCCTGAAATGTTTGGATAAAATTGCACGAGTTTTTTAGGAGTAGTCCTGTCAAGTCTTGTGACGTAGAGACAGACGACGGATAAGTGATCCATATATGTCGCCGCTACTGTGTAGCAGGCCGCACAAATAAAACCTTAATTGAGTTCTTTGCACTTACAAAATCTGCTTGATTGTACTAGTATTTAGAATGGAAAATGCAGAAAACAAGATGATAACATAAATTTAAATATGCTATATTTCTTGACATTGTATGAACTTTCCGCTAAAACCGCAACTGAAACATATATCTCCTTTCTATACTACTGCTAAAGATATGCATATTAATATTACCATATTGACAAGTCAGTTCGTCTTGTTTCAAGTTAACCCCTTCTCTACATGCACACCTTTTGCTTCTGCCTATAGGTAGACAAAGATTACTACAACCCCCGTTACAGTCTCCACATAGATCATGTCCTATACAAAGTAGAATGTAGTTGATAAATCAAAAGAATTGGCTGAAGACCTAACAACAATAGTGCCAGGTCCAAGTTTACACACGTAAGGCAATGTCTTAAATGATACAATATTTTGAGTATGTTTTTTTATAATAGCATCGTATCTGAAAAAAATGTTGAGTGTGTTCTTGTGTTATTCAAATCATGATATAACAAATAGTAGATAATATTATCTTATTTGTGTTCTTGATATAGAAAACACCTAATGTGGAATATTTTAGATATAATAAATATTGAATACAAAACTGAATAAATAATATATCAACTAAAACACAAGACATATATCACATAACTGTGTGCCAATGAAAGCAATATATTCTTTTTTAATCTATCTTGAATGCATGATTTTGTGTTCGTTTTTCTACCAGCAATATTTCTAAAGAGTCGCTGATTTCTTCAGCAAATGAAAAACAGTAGGATCATATTACGATAAATTTTGTATTATTTTATCATGATTTATATTGCTATATGAATACAGGACGTAATTGTATACCAGTCATCTTGTATATACATTCTTTTTTGCAAAATGTATCAGATTATAATAAAAGAAAGGTAGTTTTCTTTATTCAATTTATTTTACCTGTCACAAACTTTCTTGATATAAAGAAGTTGTCAAGGGACCCTAACAAAGGTGACTCAAATACATCCCTCTGCTGCAAGCCATTGATTTTGTTAATTTGTACGATTTTCCTTCAAATAAAAAATGATTACGTGTAACAATATATCATATTTTTTATTCACTTTTGGATTCGAGTCTAAAAGAATAGTTACTTTGTCTGACTATCACATGAAGCAGGGTTTCCAATTCAAAATAGTTATTATGATTTGCATTAAATTGATATGCTTGTCAAACCAAATTTGATTCCATTTGAAATGATAACTGACACGTATATACGAGTGTTGTCTTTGCTTATTCCCTTTAATACCAAAATACACACTTTATACCTTTTAACAACACATCAATAATCTGAGTGACCGAGCATCGCATTGCATGTTCAAAATAAGAAACATGTTCAATGGCTATTTAATGGCATATAAGATCGATGTACTAGTAATTTATAATCTATTATTTACCTTTGTTGCATTGGGACTAAATATATAACATCTGCAAATATTTCTATGGCAACCGGCTTTAAGCCACGCCCCACGTAAACAATTGTAATTGCTAAAGATTGTGTGTCAATTTTCTCGATTTTGTCCAAAACACTGTCACACCAATATAATCCTCTGTCTGCAAACAAAAGAATGTTTTTTGTTGTCTTCTGAAGAAATATGTTCGCTATTTATACGTGACAACCATGAAATGTATTAACCTATGAACTAAATCTCGCTAAGTCTTAAAAGTACAACCATACACAATTACTATCTCTTAATCAGATATTTACTCAATATTGTTACCTTGGACTTGTTACACAGTTGAATTAAGAAAAAACGGATGTTCTCAAGAACGACAAAAAGTAAAATCAAGTATTTTTGGTCCTTCGGGATTATTGCTTTGAGGGGTGAACATTGAAATTTGCTTCAACCGACGCTATGGTGCGCGGAGGATGTTGCACTTATTTATTATCTTAAACAAAAAGACTCAATCAAACAGACTGCAATGTTCATGTAATTGTGTTGTTTTCATTATACCTGGGTATTTAACAAACTATTCCGGGTTTTGGGTGATTTTAGTGAGAGACAAGTATGCATATGAGTATGATCTTATCAGTCATTGTGACCAGATTCTTGCTTTCCAAATTTTAGAATTAAGATATTAACATCCCTGAAGAACTGAATTTAAAGGGCAATTTCTTACCATCATCTAAGTCAAAAGCTATATCCTCAGGCTTCTCCATGGACTGTACTGTAATTGGTCGAACGTTTGACCCGTCCATATTTGCAATGACAATGCGTGTATTGCCTTCGTACCAAGCTATTGACCTTGGAAAAAAATACAATCAAGTAAAGATTGAACTAGGCTTGTCTATTGTAAACTTTTTCAAAAAATTTCAGTTATAAATATACCTCTAGAAATAAGTTAAAGAAATTCAAAATTGGTTGAGATTGAAAGCACTGTCATGAGATGGCGACTTAATTGAGCGAAGAAAAGGTATTAAATGAGTGGCGATATCAGTATAACAGTAAGTTTATGAGTTTAGTTTATTCTTAACAAAATTATTGAAGCATAAGCAAATGTGTTGTATTTTAACAAAAAAAGTAATTGTATGGTGTTGGAGCGTTTACAAAACAGTTGCTGGTGGATAGTTTGATAAATATTGACGATAAAGTAACCTAAAATGAGATTATGTAGCCAAATTTTAAATAACGTGTGTAACCGCCATGTGCCAGGATGATAGCCTCAATCCTTCTTCTCATACTACAAGTAAGGCGTCTAATGCCATTTTTAGGTAAATGTTGCCATTTTTCAGTGCAGAGCTTGTTCCAGTTGTTGCAGGTTGACAACAGTTGGTTCATAACATTGTCCAAAGAAGATTTAAAATTTCAGTAGTGTTCATGTCACAATTAAGGGATAATCCTGGATGTACGTAAGTTATTTCCAGGTGTATATATGATATGTATAAAATAGAAATGAGAACACATATAAATATGGCAAGGTGACGTGCAGCGAACGTAGTTCTCGACGCATCCCAGTTACACTAGCAGGGTACAAAGAAGGCATTGGACTAAAACAGGGGAGGTGACAAAGGCCGAAAAAGATGTGGAAAAAGATGTCAATAACTGTTGAGTTGACTATCTAATAAATTAAATGATAAGAATTTAAAGTGCTGAAACTAAATGGACAAGATTAGGGTGCAAGGAAAATGGATTGGGGCACAAAAATAGGATATGAGCAGAATGGACAGGAGATACCCAACGCCAAAAACAACTCAACAAGACAGGCCATCACAGTTCGTGACAACATATTATACATGTTAAAACACAAACATGTGGAACACAGAGCGGTACCGTCTTGGAACTGTCGGTGGTAATAACACTACTGAGGAGTTTAAAACTTTTTTTCGGCCCTAACAATTTGAATGACCCCATTTATTCTCCCCGTCCAAATGATCATTATGGGTCGGAAAACCATCCGATACTGACCTTATAAATTCTGTTGTGCATATACATATTGCAGAATCAAATATACATATTCATAATTGACAATAATTTATCATTTCAAAAGAGTGGAATATGGTCGTTCCCTAATTGATGGCATCTTTTTATTGGATAAAGAAGCGAAAAAAGATAGATGATTGGGATTGAAAGTGTTTGCACCACGGTAAATGAGTCGTTTATAGGGTTAGAAATGATAGCCAGGTTTTATTGAATATTTCTTCAGGAGTTTAACACAGTTTGAGGCACGTAAGACTTGTTCTTAGCTCCAATATGTTCTTTATGACGAGAAGAAGTGTAAATTAAATGAATCCCAAACAAGTGTAATTTTACAATTGTCATAGTAACAATAGTGTATAGTCAAACATGTTCCACAAAGGCTAGTTCAAAATGCATTACAAGGGATAATTATGAAATGAACAGAAAATCACACATAGTAAAATAATGTTTGATTAAGTGCAATGTACCAAAAATCGAATGAAAAAAAATATAATAAAAATATCCAAAAGAACATTCAAATATGCAATTTTGAAACTGCTGAGTCTGTTCATAGACGATAGTGGTACTGAACGTGCCTGCATACACCGTCTTAGACAAAATTCAGAAAGAATATAAATGTATGCTGGACTTTTCATAAACTGTTTTTCCTCGTCCTTTCTAGAATAGGTCGATCTGCATTCATATTCGCGTAAACCTTTGTTCAATTAGTTAACCTGCACCTGATCCATTTATTTTATAACTCAATGGTATTTTTTTAATCAAGTTTTAAAAATACGGAATATTAAATGACACAAAGCCTCCATGTAAAATCTAATGATTGACTTCGAAAATTAAGACTAGGGTTACAGAATAATGATCAACCTTAGAAATGAAGGAAATACTAGACTGGTATAAACTAGAAAATTCCAAACGAATAGTTTGAATAAAGTATGTCTTGTTTCTTGGGAGAATAATGTTTTAAAATTAAACTTCTTAAAAGTTGAAAATTTGATTACCCAGATTGAGGCATTACAGCAATTTTTCCAATGTTGGCAATTATATTTGTTGAATCAACTATCGTCAGTGAATTAAGAGAAGGGCTGACTACGGATATCTTCCGTCCAGATGAGATATATATGTTTCCAGAAGATACATCTACTGCTATAGCAGCATTATTATCAACACCTGCAATTGTAAAACAGCGTGTTGTTAAAGTATATTATACCATACAAAAGAATCAGCGAAACGACCACAATGATTTACAGATAAAGTGTATGCTGACCAGGGACAGGGAGAAAAGTGGTAAATAAATGAATTGATATTGCTGACTTTATCTCTTTCTTAGTTGGTACATTACTTACATATACGCCCCTTACATATTTACTTGAGAGGAGAAATAGAAATGAATAAAAAACAACAAGGGAGAGCACAGTTCGCGAAATGCCGTCCGGTTAGCTCAATAGGTAGAGCGTTGGACAGTAAATCGGGGACCCTGGTTCGATTCTACGGTCATTCGCACTGTACCTCTGCTCTGGTATGTACAGAAGTTTCAGGTCCTTGAAAAATGAAGGTAACTAGTACTGATAAATTGCTCGACAGCCTGCCCAGGAAAACAACGCGAAGGCTGAACTGTGCTCTGGTAAATTCAATGCGGCTTAGTGCCTTGATCCGAAGTGAAAACTACCAGCCAACACCACCACTGTCACATTAACGCCTACAATAGGGACGAAAAATGGCAGGGATTTAAAAATTGAGAGAACGTGGGTGGGCTAATTACTAACCAAAAGGGAATCTTGTAAATTAGTTTGATCATTATTATAGGAAAAAGAGGCTATAGGCAAAATTGCTAAAAGGTTGGAGAGATAAAAGGTAGGAAACCCCTCACGACTACAAATATAATCCGTCAAAGTAACAGCACAAACAGCGCAGTGATTCATGCATACGAATTGTGAAATAATTTATTTGTTGAATTTGTGACATTTTCTAACAATCGAAATACTTTTACTAAATACGTTACGGTAATGAAAATATAAAAATATTCTTACCAGACATCACTGCTGTCTCGTCAGATGTACCTAACGTAATCTTTTTTTTACTGCGTTAGTATTTTTATCAACCCATATAACGCCATTCCTTTTGGGATCCAACGCTAATCTAACAGGAACATTATCTTGTTTAATTTCAATGGCATGTATACTTTTTGTTTCCTGGTCAACCTGGTACAGCCCTTCATGAACTTCGTCCAGTACAACAAAATAATTCTCATTCAAAACAGCTGCGAAAAAATACTGAAATTGTTATTCAAGTTAGTAAATCACAAAAATTAATTAGAAATATCATAATGGAAAAAAATACACGCTAAGTGACATATGCGTAATTATATTTTTTTTCTTTCTGTCTCAATGTAAAGCAAAACTGTTGCCGTATATTCTAATAGGCCTAAAAAGTACAACTAAACTGGAAACAAGTTCTTTACCTGACCGACATGACTTGTTGTCACCGTTAAGAAAATATCCAAGAAAACAAGCACATTTTCCTTCACTTCCTGGAAGACATACATGTTCACAATCCCCATTGTTTAATTCGCACGACTCTGTAAAATCAGAAAGACAAATTCATTGTCAATTTTTGTATTCGGTATTTTTACCTGCCCCGTTATTACGTTTTTTCGTTAATTGAGGAGAGATGTGAAACTGATAAACTAATCCCAACAGTTTTTAGAATCTATCGTTAAAATAATGAGAATGAAGACAAATAAGGTAAGAACAACGTTCACAGGACGCAGTCTCCAACACACACCCAGCTACAACAGCTGGGTGCCCAGAAGGCAACAAACAAGAACTGGGAGAAAACACAAGGCAGGCGATAGGAGATAAAAAGGCATTGAGCAGAAATACAATTTCGGCGGCGAAAGAAGGGAAGGGAAATGCAATAAGCAGAAACACAATTTCTACATATAAAAGTCAAACAAAAAATACTTACTGTACTACTCTAAAATACAAGCTGATAATGACTGTGAAAATTTTTATAAGGAAAAGATAATTTCGAGATAATATACGACCATACCAAGATCAAATGGTTGCAATGCCGATTCATAAACATGTACATCTTCAACAAATCCGTCATACGCTTTGTGTAAATTCACACTAAACCTTTGTTCATCTAGTTCGTAGACTATATCAAACTGTCTGTTTTCTTCTGTTGACGATATAATAAAATTCTGAAATATATGCATTAGTGTGAATTGGTCACTAATAAATGCTCTGTAAAGTCATATAATAACTAATTGTCATACAAGGATTTTGTATCATATGTGACAGCGAATCATTAGAGAAATGTACATGTGCATTGATGGTTTTGGAAATATGTGAGATACATGATCTGGTAAGACATAATCTATATAATTTTATATATCTAAAGTCAGTAAAATATTTCAGAACAAGATATTATTGTGCCTGTGTTGATACCAAATCATTTTTGTTTTACGAATAGCCATTTTAGATATTTCTATTCTTATCAATATTTGAATACTTAGTGACAATTTGCAAATTGTAGAACAATCCACTTTTAATATTTTTGAAATGATGTATTTTCAACAATTTCCCATAATTTCCTTTAATGTTGATTAGCATTATTATAATGTTATTGTGACCTTCAACTTGTACAACAGTTACCAAAAGCTAACTGCATTTGATATCAGCTTTTCGTGGAATAAATTTGAATTTAATTATTTGAATTTAATAATTATATTGTTCACTTACATAAGAAATATATACATGGTTTTTGTCAAAAGCAACACTTACAAGGATAAAACTAAGATAAAATGTAGAAGTGACGGTTACAATGGCGTGGGGTCATTAATTAGTAGAGCAATAACTTTTTATACAGGGTAGATAAACTAATCAACATATAATTGAAAATATCTTTACCTTATAAACTGTAACGGCATGTCGTGGTTCCCCTGTAGTTGCAGTGTCATATTTTCTCTCGCCGGTTCTGTCAGTATTTATCATTCCTATATGTCCATCATCGTCATTCCACAACAATCTTTAACACAAATAAGATAATTATATTCACATGCCATGAAATTTTATATATAATTGTTTTCAAGATACTGTATGGGAGTAGTTGAGTATCAATCGCTTCGAACTTTTTTCAAATCTCCTTCAACGCCAACGATTCAGACAGGAGATCAAATTAATACTGTACCATACTTTGTTTAACAATCTGTGACAATATACAATATGCAACGTTCAAAAAGACCTATAAATGAAAGAAAATTCAAAACAGGCTAAGAATCGCAATAACAAACGATGTTCCATTAAATTCTGCGCATATTTCTTAACCCTCTTTTGCATAATTTCTGTATGAAGTGAATCAGTCGATGTATGAATGATTTACGATTTCAATGTCATTAGACTATTGGACATCAGGTGACCTCTCCTTCAATCATTGCAAGACTGTTTCCAGTGATGAAATAAAAGATACAACAATTATAATTATATATAATTAGAAATTACATGCGCATTTTATGCAATTAATTTATTTATGTATTAATTTTATTAGGGGAGTCATGAAATATTATTATATTGTTGTATATAATTAAATACCAATGAATCAATAAATAATTAAGAGTTATCCTTGTCTTTTAATTCTATCATACTCTAAGTCAGACGGTTTGGAAAGCAATGATGTTGGTATAATTTCTGATGTCTTTGTTTCTATACTCCATGCATTCAAAACATAATTTTTGCCCGTGCCTTCTAAAAAGCTCGATATCCAATAAACTTTTCTGAAAATTTAAATAGATTAACTTGCACTTTTTTAGAAATGGACGACGACCAACATTTATCTGAAAACTTGAAAAAAAGACGAATCTCTAGAAAAGAAATAATAAAGATAACTTGGTTTAATTGAGTCTGTTCATGAGAGATATGCAAAGTTCAAACGCCTACCATGTGAAACATTGAGGACAGTCAGATGCTTTTAACAGTATTATTTTAATCAAGGTAAGATATCAAACTGTAAAAGGATCGTGCTTTCTTTAAGGAGATTTAATATTGAATATGTTAATTGTATTAAGAAGAATAACATAGGATGATATAGATAGGGCAATGTTGAAGGAATCATTTTCTATATTATGTATTATGTCTTGTTGATTTGTATTCTTCTCGGGTAAGTATGATGTTTATCTTGTAATTGCTTTAAAAGAACAGTCTGTTTAAATCGTTTAACTTATTATGTGTGTTTAACCAGCTATATTTAGTGAATATCTGAATCTGTTAATTGTTCGATCAAAACTTTCCAGATCACAACTTTTCTTATTGAAGCATAATAGAGATGATACCGATATGTCTTTTTCTCTCGCAATAATTGGAGCAACAACATAACTTATATCCAGATCCAACAATCCATATCTTAAATTTTGAATAATGAAACGCATACGCACATGTATTATCAGTTATACTTATTTTGGTAAGCGTTTCGATCTTTAAATTAATCAATATAGTATGGTAACTATGAATATTACAGAAGTTGAAATAAAAGCATTGTTTTTAATTTACGTTCTAGTGTATGAAAGACGAAATATTCGTTAATTTTGAAGTGTTTAACATTTATAATTATAAATAATTCTCTTCCGATTAATGTTTATTCTTATCTATATCATTTTCATCATTTCAGTTTCCGAAGAATATGAATTGCAATAAACAATGATGAACAGGTCAAAATAGTGATTTCCACTACGAAGAGTACCATTACTTTATGATATAATATAAAGATAATACTATAAATATCTTAGTACTTTTATAATAAAAAGTTGATTATATTACGATATAAGTATTAAGATATTAATAGTAACTTTTTATGTAAAGTATTTTTTTAATTTAATGAACATAAGCTTCATGAGTTTCAGCAAAAGATAAAACTATTGTTATGCAGACTGGCTTTTTTATCAATATATGTTTGTATATTTTTCAAACGTAGAAGTGGTGTGTTTCAAAGAGGCCCCATTATATGACACGCACTCAAGACAGATTTGAGTTTTGTATGTTCTTGTTTAAATATTTCAGTTTTAAAATAATCACCATAAGATACAAATGCTTTAAAATAATCAAGCAATGTGGTCTTAATAAAAATCAGTTATAATAATAATTGAACCATGTACCTATAACTATACCAGCAGATTCGTAAAGCACTTCTCTTTGATCTTCTTTGAATGCAGGCTGTTTAAATATTGTTGAAGATCATTTGTATAATTAAAATAACCGAATCTTTTGTCCTCATGTTTACGGCAACTCTTAAAGATAAAGTTAGTAATTCATCTAGTATATATATGTTAATTATGTAAATTGGTTTTTACACAACAATTAGCAAACTAATGTTATGTAGCCACGTCAGACTAAATCATTGTCATTTCACCTTTAATCCCTGCTGGCGTGCAATTATTTTTACAGATGAGATCTTAAGGGCAGACTCTAATGAACATTCGGCATGTTCGAGTTGTCTGATCCCATGACCACTATTCGCAGTGTCGCCATTTCTGGCACTATAGCATCATTGTAAAAACTTTCCCCCTAACTATTAAATGGTTTTTGTTTTGGTACCTATTATTTGATGATGAACCAATTTAAATTTAAGATATGTTTATCAATGTAACGTTTTATGATAATCTAAATTAAATATATTAAAATTCTGAAGAAAAAACCCCTGTTTGATCAGCAAGAGCATCCCATATCATCAAATAAATCTGAAATATTAAATTATAATAAAGTCTATTCAGGTACACCTTGTAACGTAGCTATCCCCTTTCACCAGATCACAATGTATAGAAAAGATGGATGAGCTCCCGAGGCCAAGTACAGATACAGGAACGGCGCAGATGCTTTTGTCATTCGTAAACAAAATGTGTCTCTCCAACACTTTCTCATCAACTGAAAACAAAATAAAAATTGCATCACAAAACATAAGAAAGTATCTGACACCAATATTGACAGATGCGTTAATTTAAGTAAGATTATTTGCAGAATTATCAATTTCAACTCACGCAATATATGTTTTTATAATTAAGTATAACTTTGGGTAAACTGTTGTGTTGACTTAATGATATTTCCAAATATATTTTCCTTAATACTGCTTCTTATAACTATTCACATGTTTTAAATTATTGCAAGAAAAAAAAACAATTAATAGGCATATTAATGAAATGTTACAGCAAGATTTTTAGTGCATGTATAACAATTTTGAAGATGATGTTTCTTTTCAAATAAAAAATTCAAAATCTTGACCTAACACATTTTTGGGGAACTTTATTATCATAGGACAGTATTTTATTTCCAAGATAAGAAATCCGTAATAATTTTTTCCTTTGGCGATACTTCTTGCCGTATGAATTATGTTAGGGAGACAAGACTTAGATATGAAGAGTTAGCAATTAGTGAACCTAAAAAATAAAGCACATCAATTTAACAATTATGTAAAAGAGCATTGTCAGATGAATCTGTAAATATGTAAACTGACATTGACAATTGGGTAGTACAAGTCATTTTTCTCTTCCAAGGATGATAGTAACAATGCAGAATAAAGGAGATCCATCTAGAACAATGGCATTAAACTTGTGTTAAAAAGGGGGAAGATTCCCCTTGTGAGGAACAATGATAAAAGCAACATCTCTCACACTCTCGGTGTTATTTTTATATTTCATTTCCGCCAAGATCATTCTTCGTGAAACGTGAAGTGCTGAAAATTGAATCAATGGTAGGAAGAGTAGGGGATGTTGGACAATTCTGTATCGCCAATGAATGATCTTAATCAAACCAATTCTGCAGTTAAGAGAACGCTCCTTTTCAATGAATTTTCCTTTTGGGAGACTCAAGCAGTATCATTATTTCTTCATTACATAGGAGAAAATAATGCGCTGAACTGACAAGAAATTGAAACATTACCTTACAATCACTGTAGCCGGAAATGTAGGTCATAAACCACTCCACTCAAGAGGCACGATGAATCCAGCATCCATCTCCATATGTAGACATATTTGATCACATTCATTTACCTTCTTACACAATGCTTTTGAAAAACAAAAACGCAAGTAACTTTAAATTTATATAACATTTATTACATTTTATGTTTTTCTACTGTTATTTTAAATTCTAACACTCACGTGACTTTGTCACTATAGACAAAGAAGTAAAAAAACTGGTGTTAAACTGCACATAAACACGCGGTTAGGGAACTACTTGTCAATATAGAGCTGTTAATGTTTTCACCCCTTTCTGATTGTTACGATAGTTAACAAGCATTTTAGATAGTATCTATATATATTAAGTCATTGTGTATGATATATATTTTCAGTTTGTTAATGTTTTCTTTTCATACAAATACAGAAATAGTTCTCAATACACTAACGCGACGACATATTAGATCCGGTTATGCCGTTAATAAATATTTTTGACAAAAGCGGCGTTTTAATCCGTAAGAGGCAGCGTAAGTGACGTATAGCTAAGTAAACAACATCGTTCATAAACAAGGCCTGACGTTATTTTCTATTACATAACATTAGAATGATAAATTGGGACACTGAATCGTAAACACAATACGACGTTAGTTTTTATTGTTCAAAACTTGATAAAATAGGAACGTTTTTTTTTTCTTAGTATTTTCCTTTTTGGTTTAACGACGGTATTTCAATATTCTTGCTGATACAGTAAGGTAGTGCGAAAATTGAACAGCGTTATATCGAAAATCGACCGAAAAGTTTTTTCCTCGGCTTTAAAAAATACACTCAGTGATTTTGCTTATTTTCGCTTAATTTTTATCGTGTGTTAAGGAATCGAAATAAACTTACGCCTGAGAGGTGTACTATCGGCTATTATAACAACTGGTTGCTTGTACGTTTTTTTGATACGACTAAAATTATCCACTGTCCACAGGTCCTAAAAGTTTTTTCATGTGGTTCAATTCCTACGGGGGCATCAAATCCAAACCGGTGTTAGATGCCATATACAAACTCTACAGGCGATGTTTATTTCTTAATTACGTTGTACACAATTGCATCGCTGTGATAAATGACGGTTAGTGTCCCCGGTTGTTGGCATATACGTTAATTGGTATATACGTCAATAAGTGTATACGTCAAAGGTGTATATGTCAAATGGTGTATAAATCAAGAGGTGTATATGTCAAGTAGTACTTAAACATTTTTATTATATAGAAGAAAACTTTGGAGTGGGATGATTTATATCTCGATCATAGTGTCGCCTGTTATATTGTCACAATTGATTGTTATACAATCACAGTGACAATGTTGTGTGCATTTAAGATCACGATCGAGAATTCAGCGATAGGATTGTGTCACTCTCTGTTTTAAACTGGTTTGTATATGTCAAATGGTGTAGAAGTCAATTGATTGTAAAGTGGTGTGAATACGTCAAGTCGTCTATATGACACGTTTGTATAATCATGTTAATGCATTGATTTCGCTCATATTCGCTTTTGTACATGTAATTGGGAGAACTGCATGACACCTTCCTTCATTGCGTTATATTATTATATGTCTGTAATTTAGCACAAATTTTTTTCAAATTTTCAACATGGACAGAACGGGCATATTTGTAAGAGCTCATGATCATTTTCCAAATATTTGATAACATATTTAAGGTCTATATTCATAATTATATATGCATATCATATTCTTAATGGATAAAATTGACTTATGGAATTTAATAGAAGAGGCTGAATTATTTCTAACAATTACCCTCCCTTTATTAACATGAAATATTAATTCGGTAATCATCTTAAATACAGTTTGTTGAATGGTTCAATCAATACGACTTTGCTGATTAACATAAAACCATAAAAAATTAATGGTCGTGTGTGGCTCAGATCTTTTAAGGTGCGTCGTATGATATTGTGTGTCAAGTGTTTGAATATAATTGTGTTCCACACGTGTGTATAGAAGTGTTGTATACATTTATATATTTACTGCACTGGTGAAATATTCAGGTGGTAGGTAATGCGTACAATGTTTTTGTCAGATCCTATAGTGATATTATCGTCAAGGTGGTGTTATTAGCGTCAAGTGGTGTAACTACAAGCTGATTGTGTGTGAACAAGGTTATTGAGTGAGAGCGGCGCTGCAGTAGACTTGTGAGAAAAGATCTTTTTATAATATAGAATTATATGTTAGTTGCCACATTTACCATCTGTTCGGTGTCTGTCTGCATTTCTTGAATGCATATACCTATACAAATTTGTTGGAAAAAGTTTTGCGCATTGGTTCAATTTCTATACTGGGCTTGGTATGTTTGTTCGGCCTTTCATTAATTTTCTTTCAGCGAAACGTACATCCGTTCTATTAAAATTTTGCACTGTATTTTATATTAGTTATGATCGAATCCTGAAATGAATCATGGATGAAAGAACTTAGAATGTGAAGCCGAATTGATGAGATTGATTGACAGACGCTCGACTGAAACTTTCTAAAAATAGTGTTCAATGTTTAGACTTTTCTCAATCATATAAACATACTACGAGGTCAGGGTGGGTTAGGCTGTCGTTTGCCACCGAATACATAAAAACTAGAAAGTGCATCGTGACGTCTCGGTTAAGCTTTGCTGTAAAAAGGAATATCACAGTAGTAAACCACCGTACAACTCTTTCCGGAAGCTAGAAGACTTTAGATGATCTTCATTGCATCATGAAACGATGAAACACCATTATAAATCTGTTTCTGGAGGAGTTGTAAGCTGAGTTTGATATTATTCACATAGAATGTTCAGATGGGCATGGCCATATTCGGACCTTTTTAAATCCAATACCTGGTCAAGAAGGTAATTAGGTCGTTCCAACTAGGAACATACACATCTAATATCTTATGTTCGCTTTACATGATGTTTTGTAAGAATTATATTTATATAAATATAGATACACACAAAGACTATGCCTATATAATGAGGACGAATTTCTCTGGTCTCAAATGCAAAAGAGCTTCAAATGCAACTATCTTATTAAATATCTATAAATAAAGCTGAGAGAACACACGATGATGACTCGTATAATAAAAAACAAATCGTCATATGAGGAGCTAGAATTCTGAACTTAGGCGCATATAAATCACTATATTACGTCACATATATTGACCACGTTTGCCCCGATCAGTAACTTTCATTATGTAAGGAACTCGATTCTTGAATCAGATATCAAATTGCCTTAGTTCTATACTATTTTTGATGTATTTGTGGTTTAAATAGTAATCACACATTCTCCCATTTTTCTTTTAAATGTATTTTGGCAATGTCAACGCTCATCCAGATTACATATTATCGGAGGCAAAATATATTAAATATGAGGTAATCTTCATGTTGACAAGAGAATAGCCCAAATGATAATAATAGTTATGTGTATAGTAATTTTTTCATAATGTTTAGTAATAACCGTCGCGTATATATCTCGCCATTCCAATAGTTAGTTTAGTTCCTGGGATACGGTCAAACAAAGTATTCGTTCTGCCATTTCCATTTGACAAATACATATGAAATATCTCAAAATAGTTCTTCTACGATCTTGGGTAATCACATTACCTACAATCTTTCCCGTGTGATCTAGAGAGTCAAGTACAGTGGGTTGGTAGGCGTTACAATACTTTGGCTGCCAATATTATTGATTTTTTTCTTTCCTGGCTCATGGACGATTTAGTGAGTTTCTATTTTGGTTTATTAGGAGTTGGCCGGTGGTCAGTCCAAAACAAAAAGCCTCGAAATATTTTTCTTTAGATAAATTTCCTATAATATTAGCGCAGTAAAAAATGCTGATTGGAGTGTTAATTTCTCTGATAAAAGATTTTTAAGTAGGAAATAAATCGTTAATTCAAAGTTGCTCAACTGGTAATAGATGACGCAGGTAAAAATATTTGAGATAGCTCAATCACAACTTGCAAAAATTGGGTTAAAATCTATATTT